AAGCCTTGCCGGAGGAGAGAGTCAGGCTGTTCGCAGAAAGCTTCGTGAAAGCAGCAATGGAGGACTTAGAAGAAAAAGCTAGAGAGAGAAAAAGATTCAGAAATAATGATGTAAAGTGAAAAGACGAAGAGAGAGGACACTGGTTTTGTCAAAAACGCGAAAAGGTGGCAAAATGGAATTGATGAGTCTAGAACGACGAATTTGTCAGACGGCGCACGCAGGCGCATATCGAGTACGATCCAATGAGGAGAAGACACGTGACAAAAACGGTTGATGTATTTTGCATAACAGCTCACACGCGTGATAAAACTCTTGGAGTTCTTGATTTAACGAAGCAATGACATCGGCTGATAGGAAAATCTCGGCTAAATAAACTCGAATAAGCTTGGTTAAAAATTCTGAAACCTTGATGAGACAAGATTGCAAGACCTGGTTATGTGAAGCCGATGTATTATAACCTCGGTAAAAGGATGATACAGCGAGACGGCCTACATGCTATATGATATGACGATATAGGTTCCATCACCTTAGGATGCCGAGGTAATAGAACCTAGGGGGCAGTTGTGGGGATATATTTTCTGAATACCAACACGTGGTTGAGGTGATGCCAACGTGTCAGCCGGGTTGCCATGTGTCCTGGTTGTGACGCCGAGGTTATCTTGGCTAGACCGAGGTTGTCTCCGAAGGTATCAGAGTCCGGGATAAGCGAATAAGGGACAAAAGTCCTAGAATGAGGAAGAACCTCAACCTGGATAAGGATAAAGCTCTTAGGGAGTTTATCTTTATCTATAGAAGAGTCCAAGATTAGCAGTAAGCTGAAGTCCATTGAAGTTAGGCTTCTATTGGGACTATGTTTGTATTGAATATAAAAGAGAGGCACCTCCATAGGTCTAAGGTACGTAATTTATATTCAGAACAGTAAGTTAAGCTTTATTGATTATCTTTGAGAGATATTTGATTACTGACTTAATCATCGGAGTGCCCCCGGGTGGACGAACCACCGCCAGATTCTTATCTTTCTGTTGCAGGTCGTTCGGGCTTATCCTATTCTGCCAATGCTCTCCAGTTGAATACTGAGTTGGCAGTGTGGTCAGAAATTCACCCACACAAATAGTAATAATAGTATCACTTAGATAGGCAAAGCTGTCCAAATGCCAATAATTTGAGGGCTAGAAATGAGTAGTCAAGTAAGAGTCGAGCAAGCGGTTTAAGAGAAGAATGTAGTAGTGCAAATGGACACTGTCTCTTCAAATTCTCAAAATTTTTCCTCAAACCTTAGGAAATTGATCATATTTATAGGCTTTTCTAGAGTACTGAATATACCAAGTGGCCGAATAGAGTGATAACACATATCTCTGAGGATCAAGCAAAATATTCCTGTCCTGACTGCCAGGCTTTAGTGGACACGTGTCTCCCTCAGTATGTGTCGTTTTTTGTGTGTACCTCAGAAGGTGCCGTTTTTGGTACATCCCTCGGAAGGTGTCATTTTTTATACCTTCCTCGATGTCATTTTGCGCGATACTTTCTTACTCAATATAGTTTCCTAGACATATCTTATTATGAGTCATAGTATGCTAACGCGTGATAAAACTCTTGGAGTTCTTGGTTTAACGAAGCAATGACATCGGCTGATAGGAAAATCTCGGCTAAATAAACTCGAATAAGCTTGGTTAAAAATTCTGAAACCTTGATGAGACAAGATTGCAAGACTTGGTTGTGTGAAGCCGATGTATTATGACCTCGGTAAAAGGATGATACAGCGAGACGGCCAACATGCTATATGATATGACGATATAGGTTCCATCACCTCAGGATGTCGAGGTAATAGAACCTAGGGGGCAGTTGTGGGGATATATTTTCTAAATACCAACACGTGGCCGAGGTGACGCCAACGTGTCAGCCGGGTTGCCATGTGTTCTGGTTGTGACGTCGACGTTATCTCGGCTAGACCGAGGTTATCTCGGCTAGACCGAGGTTATCTCCGAAGATATCGGAGTCCGGGATAAGTGGATAAGGGACAAGAGTCCTAGAATGAGGAAGGACCTCAACCTGGATAAGGATAAAGCTCTTAGGGAGTTTATCTTTATCTATAGAAGAGTCCAAGATTAGCAGTAAGCTAAAGTCCATTGAAGCTAGGCTTCTATTGGGACTAGGTTTGTATTGAATATAAAAGAGAGGCACCTCCATAGGTCTAAGGTACGCAATTTATATTCAGAACAGTGAGTTAAGCTCTATTGATTATCTTTGAGAGATATTTGATTACTGACTTAATCATCAGAGTGCCCTCGGGTGGACGAACTACCGCCGGATTCTTATCTTTCTGTTGCAGGTCGTTCGGGCTTATCCTATTCTGCCAATGCTCTCCAGTTGAATACTGAGTTGGCAGTGTGGTCAGAAATTCACCCACACAAATAGTAATAATAGTATCACTTAGATAGGCAAAGCTGTCCAAATGCCAATAATTTGAGGGCTAGAAATGAGTAGTCAAGTAAGAGTCGAGCAAGCGGTTTAAGAGAAGAATGTAGTAGTGCAAATGGACACTGTCTCTTCAAATTCTCAAAATTTTTCCTCAAACCTTAGGAAATTGATCATATTTATAGGCTTTTCTAGAGTACTGAATATACCAAGTGGCCGAATAGAGTGATAACACATATCTCTGAGGATCAAGCAAAATATTCCTGTCCTGACCGCCAGGCTTTAGTGGGCACGTGTCTCCCTCAGTATGTGTCGTTTTTTGTGTGTACCTCAGAAGGTGCCGTTTTTGGTACATCCCTCGGAAGGTGTCATTTTTTATACCTTCCTCGATGTCATTTTGCGCGATACTTTCTTACTCAATATAGTTTCCTAGACATATCTTATTATGAGTCATAGTATGCTATTCGTCATACTTGTATCTACCTCAATGACTCCCTTACTCTTAGCCACTTAATCACAAATTCTTCAACTTCCCAAGGCGTAGGCCACATCAAGGCTTGGACTTAGCCATGTTGTGCCTCATACCAAGCCTAGGGAGACTTTCTTGGTCCTGCAATTGCGACTAAGACAAGTCATGTTCTTGAGTAAATGGAAAGAAAGTCTCTTGCTTTCAAGTTTCCTTGCATCCATCTTCGTTGGAGTCATGAATCTGACTTGTCACAATATACTAGTGCTTCTAGGGCTTGCTATCAGTTTCAACTAGTAAGCTTTGAAGCTTGCTATCAACCCCAAGCTAATAACGCTTTGGGGTTTACTATTAGCTCCAAACGTCAACCTCTATTTGCAAATAGAGGAGGCCTCCCTCAAAGTTTGTTATTCCCTTAGGGAGTCTTGCTTCAAACACTTCCTTCAAGATATGTCCTCTTATACCTTGGAGGTGGAATCATGATGGTCTTTCAACGAAGGCGGTGATTTAGTGAGTCACCTCAAGCACTAGGGCCACAATAGGTGCTTCATCAAACAATCACCTCAGATACTTCTACTGCAGATGGTCCCTTCAAATCTAGTGGGTTAAATCTTATTCAGTTCTTTGTTGACCCATTTTTCTTAGGGTTGTTATTACTGAGGGATAACCAAATATTTATTCGGTCACAACTAACACACTTTTCTTCTTCTTTTTCTTCTTTTAAGGTTTCAAGGTCAGCAAAGTTAGACAACAAAATCGGGAAAGAGGGTTTGGGAAGGGCAACAACGAAAAGAGAAGGGGCGGTTATGAAAGGAAAAAGGCTGAAGAGGGATGACATGGAGAGAGGTAACAATGATGGCGGTTGGGGTTAGGATTTGAAAGTTGGAGAAGACAACAGTATTTTGATATTATTTCAAAATTAATGATGTTGATTTAGAAAAATAAAAAAATTCAAATCGAGTTTGGTGTGAACTAACCAGATGGTGTGCTCCAAAAGAATATATAGTGTATATTTAAAGGTTCCCAATTTGAAATTGTTATTCCCTTTTAAATGAACCGTTCCATTCTTGTTTCTATTCAACTTCTTAACAAATATTATCAATTAAATTAATTAACACAACATAAAAAAATAAAGTATACTTTTTTTTTTTATAAATGAAAAAATAAAACATAAAATTAATACAATTAAAACTACATGGACTAAATTAACACCAAAAGGAAGAAATAAATTACACTCAAAGTCCCCGTATTTATTAATTGTGTCATAGTTATAATTGCAATAATTTTATCCAAAAAAATTTCAATGAAAAATTGAAGGGTAAAATTGATACAACTAAAAAATTGACACAAGGAAAATTACAGATATCACTGAGTATAATCTACCCAAAAACAACCAAAAATACAAAAAACAAAAACGTATACATTCAACAATAACAACACAAACAAAAAAACAAAAACAAAACTATATGACATGCCAATTTCTGGCCTTATTCATGCAATATACTTCAAGTCTTCAACTATTCCTTGATTTATGGTTACCCAGAACATCAGGAAACAAAGGCGGCGGTGGAGACAACTAAGATTATTGTGGTAATGGGATAATCCTTGGATGGTTAGTTTGTCGGGGTTGTGCTGATGTTGGGGTTCGGAGAAGGGGTTGTGCTGATGGCTATACGCTGAATTAGTATACATGTTAAGGGGTATCGAATACCGGGTGAGGTTAGTAAAGCATCCAAAAGAAAAAAGACTAGCATTGGGCTGGTGAAAGACTAAAACATGGTCAAGCTTTATTAGCATCTCTACAAGTCCAGACAACGCCACAACTGACTGAAAAATGAAGTACACACCAGGTATGTAAATCTCTCTCAATGCTGCTATAACGCCAGTCATCATCGATTGAATGGTGTCTATAATCCTTGGATTAACAAAACCAAGCCCATGTCCATGAGAAAGGCTTCTATTTCTGCATCAATCTCGTAAATACAGACCATCAATGACCTGCTTACCAGGAATAACACCACTCAGCTGACCATGGTCACGGCCAAACTCAGTGTCCAAACAACATTGGCCTAAGAAAAGAATTGCAAATAAAAACTAACCACTTTTCACAGCAACTGGAAACCAAAAAGGAACGAAATGAAAATGTAAACCAGCAAACATGGAAGGGTGTCAATTACATTTAGGCAGAACAATGGATACAAGGCAGACACATTACTAATCTTTTACTCTCCACTGGGGGAGTGTACAATACTTAAAAAAAACAAGTTTTATCAACTTTCACTGTTGTCTGCCTAGATATTTGGTAAAGAAAATCTGTAACTTAAATGAGACTGTCCAACTCTGTACTAGCTGTTTCCAGATGCGGACACCTCGGTGCAGCAAACGGGGCAGACCTACAAAGCACATAACAAGCATTACACATCTCTATCTCGCCCCAAAAAACTTTAATCAACAATCTTTAGTTTCTATTATCTTTGAGAAAACAACAGTACATATAATACATCGAAAATTTGGAGAGGTTCTTATTGGTTAAGCAAATAATAACAATGATAATAATGTTTCAGTTCCGCTCTATACACAACATTTCATCTAAAATAATGCTTCCCTTTCAAAACTGATATTGGGATTTTTATCCCTTTTTAATCCTTTTTTTCTTCTTCTTTTACAGTTTGAGGGAGTGGGGAGAATAGATCCATCACGAAGTGGTCATCTCTAATTTGCAGAATTAGTCCCAACTCCCAAGGGAAGAAAAATAAGAGGTCCTTAATGAAAACAAAAGATAGGCAGGGATTCAGAAAAAGTTAAAAAAAAATTTCATTTATTTTTCCCCTTATGCTTCAAATCATAAAACGTTCTTGCTTCTTCCACAAAGAAAGGGACTGAGTGGTTTTAGTGTTTTGATAGAGTGATGACTAGCAAGAAGGAGATGGAGCTATCATGCTTTTGCAATCGTTTCCTCTTCCAAAATTTTCTATTATTTCTTCATTCATGAGAATACCTGTGGCGGTAAAGAAACTAGGTAGCATGTGTTGGCGTCATTGAAGGTGAGGCATGTAGCAATGCAAATTCAGAGAGAGATTAAAATACAGTGATAGATTGACATACAGAGGTTTAAACAGAATTCGAATACCAAACATTATATAAATAGAAAACTGTTCATATTGAACTTTGTTTTCTTATGACCCAACCAGTAGTAAGTGTTTAATATTTGAACTAGTCCAAAGTCCAGGTTTCCCAAACAGGCCCTAAAAATGATCGGTACATGTATCCACAAACTCCTTAACACCTATAAATAACAAATCCAAACCTACCAAGTTTAAATGGAAAAAACATTATTATAAAAAATAAAAAAAAAACAATCAACCGTAGTATCCAACAAAAAATGACACTCTTTTGTGGGTGGATTTACAAGTCAGCTAAATCAAGCATCCTGATATTCTTCAGGACAACTGGCAATTGGGGTTCTTTAGAATGAATTGTAAGTAATATATTACCTTCCACTTAAATTTGACATGAAGAGGAGTCAAGAAGTCTATTAAGAAATAGAAAGAATGACTAGGAATAAGTGATTTCACCATGGGAATAAAAATTCAATGTCAAACCATGCACAAAGAGGAGGAAAAACTTTAGATATCACCCATAAGAAGCAAGTTTATAATGATGCAAGCTCAAATTAAGATCATGTCAAAATATGGACGTGTTTCAACCCTCAAACACAGTTTATGCTCAGATTAATGAAAAGCTAATAAGGCCCTAGGGTAAGAGCTCTAATGGGAAACTCAGCCCAAGCTACAACTATCTTCTAGATCATTCACATGTCTCTTTGAACTCATAAAACCATGTACCTTTAGAAGATGATACTTATCTTCAAGGATAATGAGAACCCTTTGTTTTGGAACTCATTTTCTTTTTCTCTATTTTTTTCTCTCTTTTTTTTTTTTTTTTTTTTTTGTTTTTTTTGTGGGGGGCGGTTTACATTTCAAGAAATTATTGCTACATTGATGGACATCAGCTCATCAGAATTTACATATAAAAAAAAGTTTGTACAGTAGGCCAGAATGAATGTAAACAGCGAGAGATAACATCAAAAATCAAATTTATGCAATATAAAAACTCCAAATGAAACAATGCATTCTAAAAAACATGACATGTGCATGTATATGTAAACACACATGTATAATAAAGCTTCCTCAACGCCAGAAAGTTAGGAAGAACAATGTAAACACACATGTATAATAAAGCTTCCTCAATGCCAGAAAGTTAGGAAGAAGCCGCATGAATAATACTAAGTAGAGCCCCCAAATATAATAGGTAATATTTACATGGGCATTATAGCATGGGAAATTATTTAAAAAAGAACAATGCATTTACCTTATTTATTCGTAACCAATTGTTTATACATTCAGAATGGTACAAGTGTTTGCAGGAAAGTACAGTCAAGGTGTCACCATCCTCGTAGTCCAACCGGCAGATAACACAACTGATACATGAAGACAAATGTTATCCACACAAACCTTAACAATTATAATAATCTAAAAACTGCACTCACGAATCATTGTTTCCATCCTGAGTGCTTTGCGTCTCATAATTCATTGAAGGTAAAGAGGCAATTGTATCAGAAGAAAGCCCTCTGCTCTCATTTCCAACTACTTCCCCCAATGCAAGCAGCTCCTAAAATATCAAACCAAACTCCATTAGCAAAGTATAATAATGCTTCAACCAAAAGTCAGATACAATAGACAAATTTACCTCATATGATAGCTGATCCGGATCTAACTCCTCCCATGTATCCTGAAAGAACCCAGTGACACATGAGATATTAAGATCTAGTTAAGATTAGCTTTAAAAGCAACAACTTTGGTAATCATATGCATACAAACACATACATCACCTAAATTTCATATACAGGATTAATAGCCATAGACTAAAAATCTTATTTCATTACAAAAAAAATAATAATAATGAAAACTGATGAAAAAAAACAAATGAGCACTAACAATTGCTTCCCAAAATATATGCAAGCACAAAGAACTCATACTGGACATAAAATTAAGTGGAGGAACGATCAGCAATTGGCTGTAAAATCAAAGAGTATGCTATGGTGACATGGTGAGAACTTGAGAAGCAAATAAAGTATCTTCAACATGTATCCACATGCATAAGCCGCCTTGTCAAGGACTCAAGGGCATTCCTTCTTGCTCTACTAGACAACTGGTGTCTTTTTTATGCATTTTCTGGTAGATTTTTAAACCTAAATTTCCAGAAAATTAGACAGCAAGAAATAATTGTTTGATAGTCTGTTCTTAGATTTTACATGCTCCATGCAGATACATAAAAAAAAAAAAAAATTATTTTTATAATAAAGCTTTCCTATCGAAAGGATCATTCTCATTTCTCATGTATTGCAAGACTTGTTATAAATGTCTAAAAGAGTGAACAAGAACAGTCAAGATAGAAGTACAGTTTCCCAATCCCTTAGGCTGTGTTTGGCAAGAGGATTTGATGAGAGACATGGGAGGGGAAAAGGAAATGCAATCCCACTTTTAGTTTGGTTATAATGGAAAACACAAGGGAAAAGAAAGTGAGAGAGAAATGCAATACCACTTTTTGTCTTTTGGGTTCGTTTGGGCTCTTTTCTTTCTCCATTTCCCAACTCAACCAAACATAGCTTGGATTTCGAAAACTATCAATTCTTTCTCCTTTTCTTTCTAGTTCCCTTTTCCCTTTCCGTTTCCCTCATCAAATCCTCCAACCAAACATAGCTTTTAAGGGATCAAAGGGTCTCCCAAAAAAAAATCCCAATATGTGGAAAAGATATCTGAACTGGTTCATATAGCACAATGATTGAAAGACAACAAATAATACCTGAGATGGTCGAGGAAGTGAGGCATTTTGTCTTTTTGGATATTTGTGTCCTTTTGTATACAAGTGGCATTGCCTCAAAGCCTTTTTCATGAAATCTTATTACTTATCAAAAGAAACAAATTGATACCTGAGAGTTGCCACCATGATCGTCCGTATCCTCAGCTTCCCCTGCAATCACCAACACTTATTAGAAGCTTCATCAGTCACAGAATTTTCAACACAATTGCAGAATGACTTAATGATCAAGAGATATAACAGGGACCAAGTTGAATTGACACTCACGATCATTTATCCCAGCTAAAGCCAACAACCTAGCTGCCATTTCTCGTTCTTCAGCATCTTGTAGGGCTCTAGCATACTCCTCGTCATTAGGAAACGAAGCTGGATCCAGTTCAACACCAACACTTGAATCATTATCCTCTCCAGCTTCTGCATGAGCATGCACATCAAATGCATCCTCATCCTCATCCTCATCTTCATCTTCCACCTCCTCATCATCATATTCATCTTCACTGGGATCATCAAAATCTTCATCATCCTCATGAACATAGCTTCCAGCTTCCCAACTTCCGTAGTCACTCCCATCACCATTCATCCTTAGCATCATATACGCTCTTTCCTGCTCAACAACCAATCAACCAAGTTAATCCAACAGTAAACTGGAATACAAGAGGTGGGAAAAAAAGGGAAAATTTCAGATCAGCGTAGAACCTGAAAAATAATTACAAATTAATTAATGCTAAACTTTATTACAATTAATAATTAAAATTATAAACTTTTTCATCTATTTGTTATACTTTTATCAACTTCCCACTGTTAGCTAATTCCAACCCCCCCCCCCCCAAAAAAAAAAAGAAGGATTCATTGCAACTATGAGACCAAGTTTATATCCCGTGGCCTGTCTAACGTTTGTCGCACCTTTACTCCAAACATGAGCTCCAATGTGATATCACTATCCAAAAATGGGGATAAGTAATACCACTCCCATGTTATTTTTATTTATTTTATTTATTGTTGTTGATAAATACTGGTCCCATGATATTGCTTATCCACTTATCCCCACCATAGGATAAGATCCCATCCTCAACCAACCATCATAAATAATACTCCAACTCTAATACCATACTCTGGCAGACCAAGGGGGGCTATAAAATTTAATAAAACTCCACTTATCTTCTACAGTTTTTGATCTTATTTAGAATGATATGTTTTTGTGATCTCTTCATTTCCAATCAAAAAAGCTACCATTTATCTCAAAATTTCAAAAATATCATTGACAAATCATTTGGATGTGCTTTTGTATGAACTTTCTATTCACAAAACATTTTTTTAACATTAACAGGGTTTGTAGTAACTTTTCAAACTCCTTACTTGATAAATGGGATTATTGTAGTTAGTTTTGTGTGTAATGTAAATTTTTGTAGAGACAATGTGAAAAAAGTACTTATATAATCCTCTCTTTATTTTGTGCAATGTGGAAAAAACGACTTCTACAATTCTCTTTAATGGAATTTTGTTGTCAATTTTAAATGCACGTAGTTCGGCCCCTCTGGGATAAATCCTGTCCACCACTGCCCATAATTTTATCCTAATCAAAGATAGTGCTTTTAAGGTAATACACCCATATGCCAAATAAAACAACCCTGTCCAATCCTAGGTACTATTACTTATCCCCTAATCCCAAAACCATATCAAGCAACGAAACGTGGCGTTGCGATCCTTTATAAAGAAAACAGTTAAAATAAATGCTTTTCCAAACTACGACCACTTTGCCAGATTCTTCAACTTTGATTTTTTTTAGAACTAAAATTGGAATTTCAAAACCTGACACAATTAAGAATACCCAGAAATCGAAATACAATTACACACAAGATTTGTACAATTCAACAACTAGGGTACAGACTAAAAAGCCCTAAAACTGAAACACAAAACGAGAACAATGCAAGCAAATCAAAAAACTCCAATTTAAGACTGAAGAAGAAACAAAAGCAACCCAAAACACATATTATTGATACCTGTTCTTGTAAGGTCTAGCGAGGGCGAGATCGGCATCGACCTGACTGAGGTTGGTGAGGGGTTCTGGTGGAGGATGATTGGTAGATTGATTGACAATGGAGTTCGATCTTCATGTTCTTGTTCTTGAAACTAGAGATGGGGAATTGTGTTAGGTTTTCGTTGGTGGATGAGTCTGTGGTTTTGGGTTCCATTGTATCCGCTTTACAGTGCTCCATTAATGAATCGAATGAAGAGAAACGAGGATTAAGCGATGATTTTGATTTTGATTTTGTTGATCCTGAATTATCGAAAGAAGATAAAAGGAAGAGAGAGGTTGGAATGAATCGAAGGTGATCTTCCAGAAATTGAGACGCCGACGGAAGTGATGATTGGAGAGAGAGGAGAACAATTTGTGCGGTTGCTGGCTGGGCTGGGCTGGGATAAGGGATCCTTTCAAATCTGTCGGACCTATGTCCGACGGCCCATTTCCCTCTCTTTTTCTCTTCTTCTTTTATTTATTTATATTATTATAAAAATATACCAATAATACTCTTACCATAATACTCTTAGAGCATTGTTGATTGAAGGATTAAAGCATAGGATTAGGATTATTAATCCGTGGGCCCAATCATCCTTATGTTTGTTTTTGACATTTTGGTTAGGGACTATTAATCCAATGGATAATTAATCCAACAAATTGTTAGATTATTAGTAATGGGTAGGGGTGGGATAGTTAATACCACACTAATTTGATTGGATATTAATACCTCACTATTAGTATTGTGAATCAACATGGCCTTAGGCCCGTTTGTTTTGGGCTATAGGAAGGGTATTGGGCATTACCAAGTATTACTAAAGCCCATGTTGTTTGCAGAGAAGCCTTGGGACTATTAGTCCTTGGTATTGCTAATACCCTTGGAAGGGGGATTGGTAAGAGGAGGTAGAGATGGTATTAGAAATAGTGAGGGATTAGAAATTTTTATTTTTTATATATTGGGAATTTTTTTAAAATAATCTGTTTAATTTTTTATATTTTTTTATTTGTTTTATTATTTTATATAAAAATAATTTAACAATTCCTCATTATTAATCCCCTCACTGTCAATCCCCTCACTATCAATCCCCTCACTAACAATCCCCTCACTATTAATCCCCTCATTATCAATCCCCTCCATTCTATCTCCCAAAACAAACGGGCCCTTATGTTTGATTGGAAGGATTAAAGTATGGGATTAGGATTATTAATCCGTGGACCCAACCATCCTATGTTTGTTTTGACATTTGGTTTAGGACTATTAATCCAATGGATAATTAATCCAACAAATTTGTAGGATAATTAGTAATGGGGTAGGGGTGGGATAGTTAATACCACACTAATTTGATAGGATTATTAATACCTCACTATTACTATTGTGAATCAAACATGGCCTTATTTGATTTGCTAATAATCATCGTATACTAATTTTCACCATTTCATTTCCCATAAAATACTCCCTCTTTCTCTCTCTCCTCGCCTCCCCTTTCATTTCTTTGTTTTCTTTTCTTGCCCTGCAAAACATCGCCATATGTATTCTTACAATCACCATCATCAAGAACTACTGCTATAGCCTTTTGTGTAGGGGTGCAACTCGGGCGGGTTCGATCGGGTTGGGAGGTTGTCCAAGCCCAACCCAAGTTGTGCTGAGACCTGCCCAAGCCCGCCCAAGCCCAAATTGTAACCCGAGGTTGTCTGCCCAAACCCGACCCGAGTTAAACCCAAATTGCCCGAGTTGCCCGAATTGCCCGAGTTGTAAATGAATTTCAGTTTTTTTTTTCCAGCTACATTATTAAATTATTAAAATTTGACTCTATTTACAATTTTTTTTAAAAAAAATAGAAAATCATTAATACCATCAAAACAAATAATTTATATAATGTATGAAAGGTTGGTGAAGGGGGTTCTGGTGGAGGATGATTGGGTAGATTGATTGACAATGGAGTTCGATCCTTCATGTTCTTGTTCTTGAACTAGAGATGGTGAATTGTTGTTAGGGTTTTCGTTGGTGGATGAGTCTGTGGTTTTGGTTCCATTGTTATCCGCTTTACAGTTCTCCATTAATGAATCGAATGAAGAGAAACGAGGATTAAGCGATGATTTTGATTTTGATTTTGATTTTGTTGATCCTGAATTGATCGAAAGAAGAGTAAAAAGGAAGAGAGAGGTTGGAATGAATCGAAGGTGATCTCCCAGAAATCTTAGACGCCGACGGAAGTGATGATTGGAGAGAGAAGAGAACAATTGGTGCGGTTGCTGGCTGGGCTGGGCTGGGCTGGGATAAGGGATCCTTTCAAATCTGTCTTGGACCCTATGTCCGACGGCCCATCTCCCTCTCTTTTTCTCTTCTTCTTTTTATTTATTTATTATTATTATAAAAATAGTACCATAATACTCTTATTTGATTTGCTAATAATCATCGTATACTAATTTTCACCATTTCATTTCCCATATAATACTCCTTCTTTCTCTCTCTCCTCGCCTCCCCTTTCATTTCTTTGTGTGCTTTTCTTGCCCTACAAAACATCACCATATGTATTCTTACAATCACCATCGTCAAGAACTACTGCTATAGCCTTTTGTGTGCCTTTCTCTCCAATCTCTGTCACATCTCTTTTTTGTCGTCCCTAACACCACTATTACCAGCTCCCGCCGCTTCCAGGACCTTCTTTTCTCGATGCAACTTTGTGTTGAAACAATCTTCTATGTATGAGATAATAATGTGAAATAAATCAAATAAATAATAAATTACTTACAGAATTTATTCACCAAAACGAATAAGTACAAAAATGATCAAGTCGAGTATCTGACATTCTATCCTTAAGATAGATTCGCCCTGTTTTGGTACTTACAGATAAATGACGTCTATCTCCAAAGATACAATAATCTTGCACAGATTATAATAGCACTCCAAACAATCTGTACGGCGACCTAGAACCTGTGTTCTATACTCTCATAATTTCTCTAAAAACTAATATGAAGAAAATATATGTAAGAGAGCAAAAATTTAAGGCAACAAATGAATTTTCGGAATGAATAAACTATTGGAAAAGGGTCTAATTTATAGGCAAATTGGTGATTGTTGAAAAAGGCCGAACAGGTACAATTTAAAGTGAACACGTGTAGAATTCAAAACTGTTTGAAATCTATTGGAAAATGGAACTGGTGGAGGCACTGTTTGGATAGGAAATTTGAATTCAAATTTGGCGCAAAATTTGAATTAATTTCGTTTAGAAAAAATAAATTTTCCCACAAGAATTTTTGGAAAAAAATCAAATAATTTTTGTCCAAAAAATTAATATTATTATCGACCCAACCCACAACCCATGCCTGCACCCGACACAGCTCGGCTCGACCGACTAGTCAGACGAACGGCGACGCGCGCGTGTGTGTAGTGGTTTGAGCCAAAGCCTACTTTGTCCATAACTCCTCCCTTCTACAAACTTGGGATGCCCCTTGGGGCCCAAACCAAGTTTGTTCACCTAAAGCTTATACACACACATAAGCTCTCTTAAAGTTTCAATGCAGGACAACCATTTAAAAGAAACCCACTTTTGACTCTTTAATTTCTCATTCCACCAACTCGAAAATGACATCAACTTTATATTTACTCATAAATAGTTTTGACGAATCGTTTGCACTGTGTGACTTGCCATGCGGCAAGAAACACATCACCTCTTTGGACCCACCCCAAAAGACCTATGGGCCCCACTAAAATTTGGGCTCAAAGTTGGCCTAAAATAAGCCTATAAAAACCGTAAAACCATAATTTCCAACAATCCCCCACATAAATGGAATTTGACGGAGAGAAAATGCAACAACATGATCTAATTACAGAAAGTACAGAAATCAGGAATATTCTGCAAAGAATGGGTAGCTTTTGGTTTTGAACCTTCCCTTGTGAGACACTATCGGATTTATTAGCTAACTAGTGAACATGATGTCACTATTCAACCATTTGTGTAAACCAAGACAATAGAACTCACACAGTATATTACCAGACACAGTTTAGTTCTCATTATTGTGTTTATTTGGCCCTGAACAACCTGGTCTTTCATGAGTGTTTTAGAGAATTATAGCCCTTCACAAATCTCATAGAACCGGCCTAGTTCACACACATATAAGTAATTCTTATGAAAAGTATCCTGCCATACTCCACTAGGTATTCCTAGATATAAGAATCATTAGAAGTTAAAACACTGCAGACATCACTTTTCATTATAGAAATGGATAGGAGTTTGACTCATCAGTAATCCTTATGAGTTATACACAACTCGGTTGTCCTTTTGACCATAGATCTTGGGATGTCCAATCAACTAGATTGGGTTACCGTTGTGGTAACTCTTATTTAATAGGTGCAGACGCGCCCTGAGGGCCTCATTCTATAGTTTAGACTCAAATTGTTACGGTTCTTAATCTGATCTCACAATGTGCAATGTGAGATTGATAAATCACCAAAGAGTCCAAATCCAGCAAATCGTTTTGGAAAACTGATTTTTAAAAAAGAAGTGTCAAACATGGACTGCTTTACCAGATACAGAGTCACCACCTAAATATTTCATTTTGGGGGAATTTAGGAAACCCTAACTCGTTGCCTAAGGCCACGTGTCCATCATCACCAAAGTTGTCTCGGCTCGGGAACTTAGGTACGATTGGGGAAGGTCATCTATGAGCACCCCCGCTTGCCCGATCAAAGATCGGCCTGTACTAAGCATGATATTTTGTTTTTGAAAACATATGTGTTCTTATCCTGATTAATTAGCTAATCTTACTATGTGATGTGCACAGCAAACAAGTATAGACTAGATCGCCTAATTTGGAACAAAGCATTGCATATCCGTTTGTTTGGAAGTGGTTTGAAGTTTACTACTCGTAAGTAGGCTAAAACACGGATTTCAATGAATCATTCCAACTCAAGTAATTCAACCTTCACCCATAGGTATTCAGGCAATTTATATCAACTAAGCAGTTAGCCTCATGGCAAGCATGCTTTCATGGCAACATTAACACACATACAGTATGCTAAAACGTAAAAGCTTACCTAGTACTCCAAGCCAAAACATAAACTAGTTAGTAATCAATGCATGATCCTAGTTCATGTTAAGATGGCTGATGCAACACATGCAAAATACAACTAGAAATAGGCTCGGCTATTCTAATATGGCATGTGAGGTGCTACATTTGATACATGTATTCAACTTGGAATTGAAATACAATGCAGTTAGTATGATACGCCGAGCCCGGTGCATGCAATATAGATGAACGATGCAAACATGCAAACATAAGTATGCTAATTGAAAATGACCCTAAACTAACCATCAAAAGTAGGTAAGTAAAAGGGAGAAAGACGTGGGGTTAGAAGACATGCACATACGCACGCACACTTATTACAAAATTCGCCCTCTCGACGGAGGGTCCAAATGAATAATACAAACCAACTAATTAACTAACTAACAAGCTAATTAATTATTACATAATCGAATGAATAACAAGCTACAACTAATTATTACAAAACTTAATTAATTAACAAATTAACTAATTAAATTACAAAACCAAATGCCAACTAACAAGTAAGCAATTAAACAATGTTGCCTCGGCAAGTTGAAGAAGGTGAACATGCATGCTCGGTTCCCGTCCCGGTAAGCTCTCCGGTTGCTCTTTAGAGACTCTGCCTGCAGGGTGTCCTTGAGACCTTACTGCTGGAACTTACCAAAACCAGTCTGGGGAATGCATCAGTGGCCTGCCGGCCATGAAGAGATGCTGCCGACCACCTGCCGGCCAAAGATAGTACACTGCCAGCCAAGGATGAGGAGGTGTCGGCCATCTGTAGGGCACTGCCGGCCACTGATGTGCTGTGACACCAAGCTGCAACAGAGTACAAAATAGAGAAAATTGAGGGTCTCCCAAGGGTATATACGCACTATGTCACTCCATATCACCTCAAAACATCAAGGGAGAGACATAGTCGGTCCATGACCATTAATCACGCATCCCGATGCATGATGGCCAAAGATCCAACTTGTGCAAATCAGTATGAAATGAATGCACAAATAAACACGTAAAGCCTAAAACTCTATCATGTGTGATCAGGAGCGTCGGCGACCGAGAATTGAGACACGTTTCATCACTTGAAGTATGATACGTCCCTCATTTCTCGTGCTCGGATTAACACTTAATCCAAACAACAATGCAATGCAAGGATGGCATACAGAACGCGATGCAATATGGACAATCTAGCAAGGCTAATGGCATGCACAATACTAATACATGCAACAACTAAGCATACACCATGCAAAGCAACCTAGACATGCAAACATGCGATAAACCAAGCATGCAACAACGTACAAGGTAACAAGCATGCGACAACATGCAAAAGATGAACTTAAACCAAAGTGGGCAGACCTTAGCCATGCCCAAATCAGTGGCCAAAATGATGAATTGATGACACAAAATGCAAGACAAGCATGCATGCCAATTGGCCCAAGAATTAAGGCATAAAGAGGACAACTCTCAAGCACACTTAAAGAGTGACAAGCATGGAAGTATGACAATACTACATGCTCTGAAATGATGTTAGGAATGATGCCAAATCACACATAAAACACAAGCATGGCATGCATGAAGCTCATAAGCTAAAAACTAGCAAATGGGCTTAAGCCATGGCCATACAAAGCAAACCCCGAAGGGCCAAGGGGACCTAAAACAGTCCCAAGACAGGTCCAAACAAGACTAAAAACAAGCTTACAGTTAGCCAACACAAGCTAGAACACAAGTCCAAAAGGCATGAAGCATGCAAGGCTACAAAAGGGGTAATACACTACACCTATTAAAACCAAACATGACATGACATGGACAACATGAAACAGAGTTACATCATGGTATAACAAGACCAAAAATGCACTGATGTGATGAGCCAAAGGCTTAGGCTTAGTGGCATGCACAAAAGTTCATTCTTGAGGCATAAAGCACAAACTCTTCAAGGCATTCAAAGCATGTCAAATGCAAGTGTATGACCACATTTCGTGGACTAAAATAACATTTGAAATGATGGCAAAGCATGCAAACATCACATGTATGGCATGGTAGGGGCCTCAAAACCCAAGGCTAGTCAAAGCATTTACACTATAGCTATACAAAACATAAGTGATATGGCTATGGAAGCCCAAAACAGTCCTAGGAAAGCCCAAACTAAGAATAAAATGATGCTGGAGCAAAGCCAAAATATGCTAGGATGATGAGTCAAAACATCATG